GAATTGATCGGAGAGGAGAACGAGACCTGTTGCTTATTTTGTGTAGCGCGGATGGTTCGGTTGGTATCAGGGACGTATTACGCGTTTCCGTCATGTTCGCATTTCCGCTTCCCCCGAACCTCTCTTTCGCGTTTCTTGCGTTCTTCAGGAACCTTATCCTTGGGGACATCCTTTAACTCTCTCGTGCATATGAAGTGAATATTAATATCCGAATAATGAGATGATAATTCGATGCAATATATAAGAAAAATTTGCAAAATTTTATTAGTTGAATAGAGCACATACAATTTTCTTCAAGAATTTAAGCGCGTTGTCCCGAGAAATCATACAAATTAAATTTTACCGCTTATACAAAATTTTATTATTATGATGAGACGTAATGCTTTATTTTTTATAAATGTTAATATTAATAGCAAGAGTTTTAGAAATAGATTAAAAAATTAAATTAAGTTGTACATCTTATCTAAAAATAAGTGTTTTCAAATAACGATTAATTCCTTTATTACTTCAGAAGCATTTCGTTTATCGAAAAAAAAATATCATTTTTGTTTCTTATCTTCTTTTATATGCGGATAAGTATATTTTTCAGAAATATATCTTCAAGAAATTCCGAAATTCTGATTCATCAAATTCCAAACGAACGAGCAAAGAAACGATGGACACGGTGTGTGAAGTGTTTCAATAGCGTAAAAGCACAGGCGATATATTGTTTTTATCCCTCCATAGGTGGGGCGATTTCGCGCTGTATAACGCCACCGCTTTTCCACGATATCCAGGCAGCATCCGGTTGGCGTCTCCTCTTCGACAAACAAATGCGCGGTGGTACGCGCGGGCCAGCTGTCCCGGGAATAAACAAGCGTGACATGCTGATAGGTTCCTGGTAGTGTCGAAACGCGGTGAGATGTCGTAAACCCGAGAAGATGACAGAAAATCAATAGCGGGACGCCTTCGCAGCCCCGTCGTCGCGGCATCGATACTGTCTTCGCCCGTTTTTTCTTCCCGCACGTCTGCGGATGGTCCGCGCGTGATGCTGGCCTGATCGTTTTCAGACGCCGTGCGTCTTCCTTCCGTCTTCGGGAAAAAATCCCGGAACGCAACAATATGTATCGGCGGATCGGGACTATTCCCGCGGGTGATACTATCCTGCTACGTTGACACGTCACGGTCGTCATGTTGGAAGGATTTGACGTGAAATCGATGGCACACCTCCGGTGCATCCCGTTGACGTCGGCAATTGTTGCGATTCGATATTTTTTAACGTTGTCGATGATAAGTTGTGGATGGAAAGGCAAAATCCAGGATGCGGACGCCGAGGAAGATCTTACGTTAGGGAGGGTCGTCAAATTGCGGATATGCTAATGAGCAGCCGTCGGTGTTTACAAACGTCAGGTATGTTACACAGTGTACACATGACTCTCGACGATGTCGATGATGACGATGATATCGTCAACATTATCGTATGGTCATTGAAAACTCGTCGTATACGCTTTAATCAGCGTGACAATTATTTTAATTACTATTCCGACTTTTATTATGCTTAATTGCCCTTGATAAGACAGAAAAGATTAATGCTTTCGAGATTTTAGCTTAATTTCTATCGTATAAATATATAAAAAAAATGTGCTCTTTCAAATCTGCTGTGGTGAGCTTAAATTGTACTTTGCAATGTACCTTGTATCCTTAGCGTTTACATCGCTGATAAATTTGATACTTTATTCTAGACAGAAGAAACCCATTGGAGAGAAAAAGACACGATGAACGCGCTTGCGTCACCATCGTATCGATTAAATGTCAGACTCATGTCATAAAGACGTCACAGGCACGGTTTTCACCAGGACAACATCCTGCGCTTGAATTTACGACCACCAACGTGGCAACAGGTCTCGCGGGAACTTAACGTCGTTGTACGCAGAATCCGAAATTCCCGCCGCTTTCTCCTCTGCCTTTTAACACTAATAAATCCAAGAAGCAAGTATTTATGATCATAAGATAATATTCATTCATCATCTGGTTTCGTATTTCGATTTGATTTAACGCATGAAACAAGATTCACAATTGGAAGATAAAACATATGTTAACGATTTCCAGAACATTTTCTAATGGCAATTAAAGAAATTAATAAATACATAAGTTAAATTAAAAAGACTATATATAATTAAATATATAAATGAGATTTTAAAAAATATAAGTAGTATCTATATATATAAATATATAAATGCTGTCTTAAATGAAATAGAAAAATAATAAATATAATAGACAC